GCTTACTTCAAGGGTGAGGGCTTCTCCACTCGGCTTTTGGCCAAGGGTAGACAATAAGTGTCAGATGGGGCCAGGAAAGAGGGGCCCCAAAGAAGGCAGAGGAGGACCCAGGAGAGGCACCTGCCTGAGGGCTGCCCGCTTGCCATCAAACCCAAGGCAAACATTGGATAAGTGCCTACAAAGTGTAAGGGGCCGTAGAGAAAGACTGCAGAGGTAAGGGGGCACTCCCACTCTTGCACCTGTTTGGGGAAGGCACTGGTAGACTTCTGGCTGGAGCCAGGTGAGGGTCCAGGCCCAGCTCTGCCTGTACTGGCTGCAGAGCCCTGCACAAGCTTCATAGCCTTTTGGGGCCTGTTTTCTTGTCTCTCACTCAGGGACGATACACTGACTTCAGGGACACTCTGTGTCGTCTTCCATCTTTTTTTTTTTTTTAACATCTTTATTGGAGTATAACTGCTTCACAATGGAGTGCTAGTCTCTGCCTTACAACAAAATGAATCAGCCATACATATACATATATCCCCAATATCTCCTCCCTCTTGCGTCTCCCTCCCACCCTCCTTATTCCACCCCTCTAGGTGGTCACAAAGCACCGAGCTGATGTCCCTGTGCTATGCGGCTGCTTCCCACTAGCTATTTTACATTTGGTAGTGTATATATGTCCATGCCACTCTCTCATTTCACCCCAGCTTCCCTTTCCCCTTCCCACATCTCCCATCTTCACATGGACCCCAGCATCATGCCCGGGGCACACAGCAGGTCGTTGATAAACCGTTGTTAGTTTTCTAACAACATTCTTCTAGGCTGTGTTGATGTGCCCCAGTCTATTCCACGGGCCCAGTGTGAGGACAGCCCTATTCATGAGCCTTGGGTCGGATTTTGGGCAGCCTCCCCTTAAAATGTCTATCAGGCAGAGTGGACCCCTAAACTCCTAGAGAAAAGTCCTCCCTGAAGCACTGAGCTCCGGGACATGAAAGAAGCTGTTACAGGCCATGTTAAGCTATCGGCTAGCTGTGTGAGCACTGGCCATCACTTCACCTCTCTGGGGTTCCAGGCTTTTTCAGCTATGAGAGGGTTGATGACATGATGTCGAGGCCCCTTCCAGCTCTGGCCTCCCTGGATTGTCTTCCGGACACAACACTGTAGAAATGTACACCAGTTTACCTTTCTCCTAGGCTATCACAGAACTTGAATAAACCCTTCAATCAACCTATTTCCTCCTGAGTTTACGTATGGAAGGTATTCAGGACCCTAGAAATTTTGTGGTCCAGACTGCACATTCTGAGATGGAGCTATTCCCTGCTGTATCAGGACCCTCTGACGACTAAGATTCCTGAAGCCAGGCAATTTTCAGCAATATGTTTTGGCCTCAGCACGGTCCCAACGCCTTTCTGGTCTCCTGGGGCTCAGGGCACTCCATTTGTTTCATTCCAGGGCAGTGGGTAACGAAGTTTGACTCCAGAAAGACTTCCCTAGATGATTTCCACTTGGATGAGGAGAGGACCGTGAAAGTCCCCACGATGTCAGACCCTAAGGCCATTTTACGCTACGGCTTGGATTCTGATCTCAACTGCAAGGTCTGTAGGGGTAGAGTGAGTAGCGGGTGCGGGGACAGGCAGGATGGTGTAGTGGAAATAGAATGAATTTTGAGATCTGACAGCGGTCTAAATGTTACCTGCTGTGTGACTTTCAGTAAGTTAATCGTTTCTCTGAGCCTTTTTACCTCAAAATAAAGGGGCATAGTTATCTAAACTTATCCTCTCACGCAGGGTTTCCTGTAAGGGTTGATAAGGTAACGTGAAATGGGCCCTCAAGACTGGGCACTCAAGGGACTTCCCTGGTGGTCCAGCGGTTAAGACTGCGCTTCCAATGCAGGGGATGTGCGTTTAGGGAACTAAGATCCCACATGCTGTGCGGCCCCCCCCCAAAAAAAAGTATGCAGGGGAGTGTCATGATCAACGTATATTATACGTCTGAATAAATCTGAAAAAATGTTAATAAGCATGAAATTAAAAAATTTAAAAAGATTGGGCACTCAAATGCTGGTGTTAATTCTTGTCTTTTCTTTCCTTCTTTTTCTCTTTTTTTGGGGGGAGAACTTGTATTTCTAGAAGTCAAAGTTAAACTTTCAAAAACCGTCACAACTCCAAACTGCTGGCATTCTAAGTCTTTCCTACCTGACTTTTGAAAATTCGAAGTCAGTAGTTCTTAACTTTTTTCTTTGGAAATCGGACAAAACACCTGAAGCACTGGACAGAAATGCCACGTATGCATTTCTGTAGATTTCAGGGGCTCTTGGGACCTCTGATGCCATCTGTCCTGTGGACCTGAGGTTAAGGACCGCTGCTCAAAGGACCACTGTATTGCTCCTTCTGTGTGCTCTGCCCGGAGTCCCCATTTCTAGTCCAGGGCTCTGTACATAACAGATGATCAGTAACTGTTGGCAGACAAACCTTGGGAGAAAACACAGACCTGGAATTCAATTCTAGCTCTTTAGAACCACAGGAGAAAATTCTTTCAGCAGATAACTTCAGTTGGTATTAGGCCCAGGTAAGAAAGGACAATGGCCTACTTTTTGAAGAAACATCAGTAGACACCTTGCTGCCGGAAAGCAATTAGCTTAGAGGGACAACTGTTACATAGATGAGGGGCTGGGAAAGCGTGGCAGGGCCTGGTTACAGGAGAGGAGAAGGCGGCTTGGGGGTGTGTGCCTATCTCTAGGCTCCTGGGCTCCAAAGGACTAACGCATGTGCTTCCTCCCTGTTGTGTCAGATTGCCCAGCTGCCCTTGACCGGCAGCATGAGTATCATCTTCTTCCTGCCTCTGAAAGTGACCCAGAACCTGACCATTATAGAAGAGAGCCTCACCTCTGAGTTCATTCATGACATAGACCGAGAACTGAAGACTGTTCAAGCGGTCCTGACCATCCCCAAGCTGAAGCTGAGTTACGAAGGCGAACTTACCAAGTCCGTGCAGGAGATGAGTATGTTTCTGCAAGACCTCTTTGCTCCTGGGGTGGGTAGGGTAGAGTCTTTGAGCCTTCCACCTTGCTAAGCGGAACGCAAAGGCTCCACGGCATTGTACCGAGGCCAGGGACGACTCCTTAATTCTAATAGTGCTAGAGGGGAAGACTGAACTGCCTTCCTTATCAGACTCATTCCTCAGCCCCAAGAGCATACGTCTTATAACAGCAACTCAGAACACTGCCTCTCAAGATAGGTCTGCTGACCTGGTTTCTAATCTTAACCTCACTTGCTGTGTGCTCCTGGGCAAGTCACTTAACCCTTAACCAGCCCAGAGCTCTACACACCTCACAGGTCAAAAGTGGTTGTTCCGCTCCCAGCTTGCTTGCCTTCTCGAGAATCAGAATTTAAGAATCAGGACTGTACTCTTCCTTGGGGTGTTGATGAGGCAAGGTTTTAACGGAAATCCCTCTCGATCTCTGCAGAATTGCAGTCCTTGTTTGATTCACCAGACTTTAGCAAGATCACGGGCAAACCTATCAAAGTTACTCAAGTGGAACATCGCACTGGCTTTGAGTGGAATGAAGATGGGGCGGGTACCACCCCCAGCCCAGGGCTCCAGCCTGCCCACCTCACCTTCTCTCTGGACTATCACCTTAACCAACCTTTCATCTTTGTACTGAGGGACACAGACACAGGGGCCCTTCTCTTCATAGGCAAAATTCTGGACCCCAGGGGCACTTAATACTCCAATTTAGTGTTCAAATACCCCAGAAGAAAACGCTAGAGGGATGGCAGCTTATATATTCCATGAAGGCTGCCCCTATGTTTCAATGTATACTTTGCAATAAAAGTGCTTTATCCTTAACTTTTGTTACCCTGTTCCTCCTATTTTGAGCTATGTTCAATTTAATATGAAGATAAATAACCCTTTAGGAATTTGCTGGTCCTGTATTTATAGCCTGGGTCTAACTAAACTCTGCAGAGAAAGTCACCAGGTGAGATAACAACTGTAGTTGTTTGCATTGTATGATGTCGGGATGGATTCTCTGCCCTGTGGGGTTTACACTCTAGGTCACTAATCCCCCGGGAAGGAATTTCCTGTCTCCACAATCGGTGGACCATGCTCTTAAATACACCGGACTTTAGGTTTTAATGCAAGCACGGATATCCCCCCGTCAAGCTAATGTCACCTGACAACACAGGATAACATGCAGACAGATAAGGGAGGAAGTCTGTAACTTCAGGAAAGAATTCTTTATTTTATAGAGCATTTAAAGAAAGCTCTCAGGTTCCCATAAGATGAGGTCTGCTATGTAAAATTCTACACATATTCTTTTTAAGGAAGGGGGCCTATTTTACAAAGTACAACAGAACCTCCTTTTTCAGGAACATGAAACATGCCAAGTGTTTGGAAAAGAACTACAGAATTGGTCAAGAGTAAATTTTTCTTCTTGAGTTAGCTCTACCAAAACATCTCATTGGCCACAGCCCTTGCCAAAGCGAGTTAGTAGAAAGGAAGATAAATGCGATTCTGCCTGCCCTTCATTCAAATATTTGAGTGTGAACCATGTTCTGAACACTCAGCTTCCTGAAAAGCTACTCCCAGGCAGCTTCGGGGCTATTCAGTTCCTGATTATAATGCCGGGGCAACCACTGGGCACTTCTTGGGCATGGCTGGGGTGGGCAAACTCTCAAAGCAGTGTGTATTCTTTTCCACCAACTCATCTGAACCACATGGTCCCCAGTGGTGACAGAGCACCCAGAGTTCAGACCCAGAGTCTCCCGGCCTTCTGACTGGGATGGGGTTTAGACTATTGCTATACATCCAGGAAGACAACAGCTATCATTCCTACTTTTTGTCTCTTAAGTGTGAAACCGCTAGCAGCAATGCCCACACCCTCAGCATCTTCTGAAGTTGTTTTTTTTTTTCCCTTCTCAGTAATTATGCAGTCTGTATTTCATTTGCCTGCTTGGGGAGGTAGAAAAAAGCGGTCTCTTTTCAGGCTTGCTAATAAACAGAACTCAGAAACGATGTGTTGTAAAATCATTGCTACAAGCTTGATTTTATTAGTGTTTGGTCTGTGAGTCTGCCCAGAGTACAGAATGAAAACCAGAGAATAAGGACTCGAAAACTGGTAGAAAACAAATTTAGAGTTGCCATCCTAGGAAGAAATTCCCCAACAATAAAATGGCCCCATATTTATTTCTCTATTCACAATTTATACTCCACTGGTTTTAACAAAGGATTCAAGGAAGCTAGGTACCATAAATGAAACTATACCTCCAGAGGTAAGGAGCCTCACTAATTTCTTGCTTATAAGTATTTTTCAATTACAATACGACTATTAAGAGTTTAAGTTCCCACTGGAGTGGTACACAACGTTTCATTACTACTAGAAACCAAAGGAATGTTCCAGGGAAACAGACTATCATCATTTAGTAAGGAGGCGTCTAGCCAAAACCCCAGGCTAACATCCAGATGCCTGCAGATCAGCTAAAATCCTTTTAAAGGGCTTAGGTTCTCCAGGTACCAGTTTTAAGGTTTTTTTCTGGGAACCAGGAGTTTTTGTTGCAGAGCAGTTAACTATTTCAAGAAACATTCATCAAAATAGGTGAGCAATAGGGAGGGTGGGAGGGAGGGAGACGCAAGAGGGAAGAGATATGGGAACATATGTATATGTATAACTGATTCACTTTGTTATAAAGCAGAAACTAACACACCATTGTAAACCAATTATACTCCAATAAAGATGTAGGAAAAAAAAAACCATAGGTGAGCACGTCTCTAACTGCAAAGCTTTCTAAGCCCTCCCTTCCCCTCATACACTAGGCTTGTGACTGTCGGGCAAGTCCTGTATTGTTTGGCGACAGCTCAGCAGCAACAGACCCTCTTTAACTCCTCCCACACGGGCTCCTTTCCTGTTGGTCAAGGTCCCCTTGAGACCCTACTGGTTGGGTCCCACAAGGATGGGCGGCAAGTCCAACAAACAGGATTTCATCTTTTGTAGCTCCTGGATCTCGTCATTCCAAGGGCCATAGTGTACCAGCAGAACCTTTTCTGCCTGTTGTATTGTGTTCAGAGCTTCGGGTATTGCAAACCTGAACCAAAGGAGGTAAGAGGAGTGAATCCACCCATTCAATCAGGCAAACATTAACTGAGGGCCTACTCATACCCTGTGGAGAATGTAAAGTAGATCATTTTTGTCTTCAAGGATCTTACAATCTAGAAGGGCAGATAAGACTCTCAGAAAGACACTGAAAGGCAGAGTTTGAGATGAGAGTTATGAAAAAAAGGTATAAAGATTCCAGGATTCTGAGAAACAGGCAGATCTCAAAGCACTAATCTGATATTTACCCCAAGGTTTACTCAGCAGTCTCTGCCTTAGAGTCACGGAGTCCGCCTATGGCCTGACTCTGCAGCCCTTTCCCTCTCTCTGACGGGGTGGACTGCCTCTGTGTCTTGGGTATCAGGTCCACCCACCTCATAATCCTAGGACCGAGCTTCAAACACTCTCCCACACAGCAGCTTTACCAAGCTTGGACATATTCCGCCTAGAAATACTGACATCAGGGCCTCCTAGTGATCCCAGTTACAAAAGCGGATGAGGCATCAACTCATCAACCCTACTCTTCTTTCCTTTTAACCTTTAAAGCTGGGTTTCTCAACTTTGACACTGTTGACATTTGGGGCCGGATAATTCTTAGCTGCGTGTGTGCGGGGGCTATCTTGTGCACTGTCAGATGTTCAACAGCATCTCTGGCCTCCACCCTGAGTCATGACAATCAAAAAATGTCTCCAGACATTGCTAGATGTCCCCTGGGGAGCCAGATGACTCGTGCTTTATTACAGCTGCTTTCAAAGGAATAGGACAGGGGGAAGGAAGAGGCCCTGGAGCTGAGTGTGCTGAGAATGAGTGCTGAGGGGGGGAGGTGTGAATAACTGTGGGGGGTGGGGGTGGGGGGGGGTGGTGGGGCGGGGTGGGGGAGGGGACTGAGAAGAACCTCTATGAGGTGGGGGTGGCAGGTGGGGGGGCGGGGGCCTGGGCAAGTTCTTCCTGGGAAACTCCCTTCAGAGCTAAGAGCTTCCCCATATCTCCCAGGAGGAAATTCTAAAGTTTCAAGTTTGTCAGCAGAACAGAAGGAAGAATCTCTCCTAAACGGGAAATAAAGACGTGTCAACATGCTTAAAAGCACTGTAGAAAAAAAAAGGGATACACAGAAGAGCCTAATAAAAGAATGGTATGTGGCCTGGTGAAGTGCTGGGAAACAAGAGAAAGACTTACCCATTGAAGAAGATTTGGGCCAGTTTGAAGAGTTCATGGCCCATCTCAACACTGGTTGGCCCGTGGCGAACCTCAACCACCCGGAGACTCTTCTGTAGATGGGCGGCTGACTTCTCCCAGTCCCCTGCAAAGAAAGGAAAATCTGGTTCCAGAAAAGAACCACAGTCAACTGTGGATGAACATTTTCAAGGTAAGGAAAGCTAAATGGAAGTGAGAGCAGCCTCAGTTGAAAGACTAAGAGAGAACCAACCAGACGAGGCTAAGATCATGACCAAACGCACAAGGCAGGGTCATTCCTTGGAGCGGAAGGTGAAGACACACATCTTACCTAAGGCAGCATAGGCCTGGGCCAGGTCATCCTCGATTCCTCCCACCACGCTGTGTTCCGCCAACAGGAAGCTCTCAGCAGCATGCCGGCATCCCAACAACAGCTGAATGGCTCGCTCTATCAATTCAAAGGAAAGTGGGCTCATTACAGACACAAACCCCCCCCACCCCGTCTTAGAAATGAGAACCCAGCCCTTAAATTCTCTATGGGCTGGGCTGAATGTGGAAACCTCACTTTGTCTCCTTGGGTTGTGATCAACCCACAATTTTTGTTCCAATAACGCTGTTCTCTTGTTTTCTCTTTCAATAGCAAAAGGTGCTGGGTGAGGCCTCCCCACATTTACTGTGGGTTTCCAACTTCAGTTTGAAGTGGAATGACTACATTCCATTTAAGATCATTATTTCTCTTGACTCAAAAATCTAAGCTAAAGGTCAACTCTCATAAAAATAGGGTAAATAAATTCCCACGATGTGAAACTCTAAGGCAGAGTTTTCCAAGGTAATGAGGGGTTCCATCACTCCCTTTCTGGAAAAAGCAGGATACTTACACCCATTGGGCACATGCCCCAATGCCCTTTATTTTTCTTATTTTTATTTTTTAAAACATTTATTTATTTATTTTATTTTTGGCTTCGTCAGGTCTTAGTTGCCACACATGGGATCTTTTGTTCTGGTGCGTGGGCTCCAGAGCATGGGCTCAGTAGTTGTGGCGCTCGGGCTCTCTAGTTGTGGTGCACGGGCTCCAGAGTGCTTGGGCTCTGTAGCTGTGGCACGTGGGCTCTCTAGTTGTGGTGCGTGGGCTCAGTAGTTGTGGTGCACAGGCTTAGTTGCCCCGCGGCATGTGGGATCTTAGTTCCCTGACCAGGGATCAAACCGGCCTCCCCTGTGTTGGAAGGCGGATTCTTAACCACTGGACCACCAGGGAAGTCCCCCCACTGCTCTTTAGAAGAGAGATGATGCTCTGATGAGGGCAGAGCAATTTCTCTAGGAAATTAGGTCATGAGGCCCTCGAATTAAAATAAATGACACTGAACTTCTGGATATGCACAAAGATCACGGATGTCAGAGACAACCCGTTAGTCTTTAACTAACTCTCTGATGCCTAAGAGAACAGCTTAAATCAGTTGGCCCTTTTTCAAGGACGCCAGGCAAACTGAGCTGGTAAGGGTTTGGTCTCATTGGCCTACAAAGCCATCTTGTGGCTGGCATGGGGATAATTAAATTCAATGCTTCAGTCTTCACCGAGTATCCCTGAATTCAAGGTGATCTCAAAATGAAGAAAAGGGAAGGGGCTGGAGGACCAAAGCAGGGAGCCAGTCTCACCTAGTTCGCCATTTCTGAGAAGCTTCCGGGCCATCCCCACCTGCTGCTGAAGGTCCTGTAGCTGAGAGACTAGGTGATCTCTGCTGACTGATTCCGTACAAGATGTGCTGCCACAGCTCAGAACATCATCTCCCTGTGGAAGTCAGTTTTGTCTTTATTCCTGTACCAGAGTCCGCTAGCGACACTGCATGTGCTTACATTACAGGATTGCTCCAGAGCTTCTGACCCTATGGGGGAAAGACGCCTGCAGCAACACACCATGGCCAAGGGCAGACTGGATCTGGTTTGATGGCAGCAACTGCAATGAGAGCAGGAGCCGATCCCTGCTTGAGATTTACTTTTTGCAACCAAATTAAACTGGTACAGACCACAATGTCTTTCCATCTTGATAGCCCCTCTCTTCTTTCTCTTTGGGGCTGGGACTTTGGATGACAGACACATTTCTAGTGGTTATGAAAGAGCCATAAGGAAACCAACAGAAAAAAGGTGCTGGGTGAGGCCTCCCCACATTCGTCCTCGGGCTTGTGACTTCAGCTTTCCAACACAACCAGCTCCACGTTCTACTTACAGCTCTAAGGCATTTGCTGTTTTTCAGACGCCAGAATCTGTGGCCCCATTTGGCAGTAGCAACCTGACTTCTCCGGAGGATCCTTTCCCACCCTCCTGAAGTCAGGGCCTGGGGGCTGAGTGGGGAGCACGTGGCTCCGATCTGGCCCAAATGGCTGGGGGGAAACAGTGACTCTGATTTTCCTCCAGATGCAGGTATCAGGTTGATAAAACACAGTACGATTTTTGCCCAGATCTCTGTTAGAGTACATATGTTTTTATCCTTCTGGACTGGGGGAATCTGACGCTGGAGCTGCTAGCAGCCATCTGGTCACCACAGGAGGGAAGTCTGTCTGAGGTTGGGCTAAATAATACAGAAAATGGAGCTGAGGGAGGTGGAAAGAAAAAGTAGGTCTTGGTGACATTATCTGAGCCCCTGGATCACGTTGTATTTGAAGTACCCCTACTCTGGGACTTCTGAGTGATTAACTTGAGCAAATAAATTCCCGGTCTCCCTGAACCCCAAATCAGTTTAGGTGGGATTTTCTGTTCTTTGCAAGAAAGAGATCACTAAATCCAACCTTTCCCTGTGGTTCCTGCAGGGGGGTAATCTATGTGTGGGGAAGGTGGGCAAAAGGGAAGAGAGAGAACTGGTATCAGCACCTCTAAGTCCCAATGGCTTCCTCCTAAAGATTTAAAGCCTTTAGGCTGGATAACTGACTACCAGGAAAAGCAAAGAGAAGGGAAGGGAGAAAGAGATTCACCTGCAGGAGTGCTCTGCAACGGTGACAACAGAAGGCTTCCCGCCCGGGCCCCTGCGAGGGTCTCTGCTTCTCACGTTCACAAGGGGGACAGTTGCAGTCAAAGAAATACTGAGACCTCAGCTTCTGGCGCCTCTCGGCAACACCCATCCTGCTCTCGTGGGGCCCTGCAGAGACACCACGCTTGGCCAACATTTAAAGCAAGAGAGTATCAAGCACTACTTAAAAAACTTCAGCTTAGCGGAGGGTCTGGTCAATCACTCATCATGCGACAGGGACCTTTCAGTCAAACATTTGTGGAACTAGATATAGAAACAGGCTTCCAAGTTGCGGGGACAGGAAGAAAAAGAAACCAAGAAGTTGTTCCTGGCCTATTTTCAGAATAGGACATTTACAGGGATCAAGCAGGGAGTGTCTACCCGATAGTGCAGATACAACAGGGCCTAGCGAGGAGGCTTTTCTTCCCCATAAGTATGCACTGCCTCTGCCAGGATGCAGACTCTGCACAGGTGAGGCACCTGCCCTGTGGCTTGCTCAGGCGAATTCACCCTGTCCTTTTCTGCTGGAGAAAGGTGGACAGGAGGGAGGATGGATGGCTCACCATAGCAGTGGAGAATCTCTTGTCCTTTTTTAATCTGCTGAGATGCCCGAACGGTGGCGACGGTGCTAATGAAGGACACGCTGGTATTGGGGCTGCAGGAATGGTTCAGGAGGCTGACGACGGGGAACAGCCCCGTGGCAAGGCGCACCTGCCTGCTGTTCGTAATGAGGTTCTTCTTTTCAGATCCTGAGAGTGCAAGAGGAAAAAGGGAAAAATGTGTCAGGACGCTCATCCTGGCCTCACCCTCTATTCCTCAGAAGACGAGCTGGGCAATCGGGCCTGAAGCGCGGCTGAGTCAGAGCTCCACAAGCTGGATCCGAGATAAATCAGACGGAGCGTGACTCAGAGCAAACTCTGGTTCCCGGGAAGCAAAGCGAATGAGCACGTGAAACGTCCACCAGAATCTTGGAACCTAACTACTGTGTCTCAATACCACAAAAAATCCAAAGATTAGAATTTATAGAGAGTAATAAAAAAAGAATTATCAGTAGGGAGCCTTCCAGATAGACAGTTTCATAATGTTCATGACAACACAGAAACCAGAGTACCAGATGAGGTTATTTCCTAAAGACTTTTATAGTCCAAGTGCTTTTGTTTAACTGGTCTTTGGTTGGTTAATAGAACAAGTAACCTAATTACTATCCTAAACTAAATAGGCCTGTCATACATTTAAAAAAATCAGTATTTCTTATGCTCACCTCTTCATTCTGCCCTTTGTCCCAACTTGATGGGAAATCAGTCAAGCAGTAGTTCTCACTGAAAAAACTCTTTGGACCACTTCTATTCCAGACAGTCTCACGTCCCTAACCATCTCTTCTTTGAAGCACAATTAAACCAGCAATTTAACCACGTGATTGAAAATCAGGAAGGAAGGAAGAAAAAAGCCTCTAAGCAGTGAGGCTACTTCTGCACCAAGGCTCATGCACTTACATTCATATGTGAATTCTCTGTATTCTGCTGCAGGCCCACTTCCTCTTATTTTAGCCACAGTTCGAACTGGCGTGGTTATTCAGTTTCTCAGCCCACCACAGTCCAGAAACAGAACTACTAAGAGGCAGGTTTTCTGCCAATGGCAAAGGAGACGGGGACAGACTGGAGGAGGAGGCAGAAAACTTATACAAGAATAACAGCCTCAGGCAAACAAAAACACTAGCACCACTCCGAGCTTAACCAGAGGTTCTCAGACTGACCCCATACTTGCACGGGTTTTTGTCATAGCTATCTATGTCTCGGGAGGATGCATACAGAAAGGCTTAAATTGTGTTCAGCAGCCTTGGTGTAAGCATGAGGAGAGAGTGTTTCCGACAAGGCTGGTTGAAATATGAAAGACACTGGTACTTAGAGAGGAACTTTCAGTTTTCTGGAAAACTGATAAGCCATCAGATAATTGTGGTATCACCGTATATGCCAGGAATCTCAATGCACCAATCACCAAATGATGCAGTCTAGGTACATATGAAATGAATGAAGAAAATACAAACCATCATGTGAAAATGTTCTAGAAAGGAAAACATTAACTGTAAGGAATAATATTGTCTCTCTGCAGACGATTCTATTACCTGCTGCTGTGGAAGACAAGAATTAGAACAAGTAAATAAACTTCGCAGGGAACCTAAATGACTCAATTTTAGTCGACAATTCTACAAATTGTATTGAAATCTTTCATTAGAGCTTCTCCTAAAAGCTTAACTGATTTTAGTGTCCCCTCCCCCTCCCCCTTGTCCAATGCCTACCTTCTGGTACATGTACCAATGAGCAGCAGAAATGCTAAAAGGTAAGGAGGCAGCAGGAAGGAGCAGTGCAGGGCACAAACAGTTTGTCGTCTGAATAATCAGCCTCTGCATAATTAGAAGTCGACTTGCATTCCCAACTACTGATACCTGGCAATCTATATTAGAAGAGCTGCTAAAATTTTCCCAGAGAAGATTATCACAATACACATGAGTAATGTCAGCTTCGTGAATTATTTATGGGTTACCCTCTAACAGAAGTAGGCCCAAGAACAGAGTGGGGTGAGTATTTATGTCAGAGTTGAATTTCTCTCTAATTATCTCTACAAAATTAAGTACTGATTTTAAAAATTATTCAATATTTTGCATTAGTCATCTGTTAGCAGAGATCGTAGAAAGTGAGAATGTGTATGTACCTTTACCAAATTTAATATGTGACATTTTGTGCACAAAACAAACAAAAAACAAAAAAAGAGGGCCTGAATATTTTACGAAAAGTGTACCTCGCTAATATTCTTAGTACATTTAGTAAAGAAAAAACGGTTCATTCACAATACTTTCAGAATGTACCTATTCTGGTAGATACTTTACAAAACAAGAAATTTTTGTGTAAAAAAAGTAATCAAGGACCCACAGTGAAGGTGGATTCCTCGGTTGCTGAAGAGTGAAAGCAAACGGCAGTGAACTGATCTGAACTTCCATAGAACCTCATTAAGCCTCGTGAATCTAGATACATCACGAATACGCCATTCCCACCGAGAGAGATACACACACACCAAGGTCTGGAATGCCGTCAGTGGCCAGTTCTATCCCTTAAAATAAGTACCAAAGAGAGATTTCTGAGGAACTTTGATTAAATAGGATTTATACAAAGATAATAACATACATTTTTATAGGTTTTTGTCAAAGTCTATCCAAGTTAACACTTTAATCCTTCTTCTGTGCTACTAATGAAACAGCTGCTAATGAAATTCAATGAGAACACTAAACTAGGAGGTGTTGGAACCCCAAAGAAATAATAAAAAGGGATGAAACAAGATTAGAAATATTAGCAGACTGAGACAAAATTAGACTGAATTAAAAAATGAAAGCGAACATTGCTGGTGGGTGTGTAACTGGTACAACTTTCCTGGAGGGCAATTTTGCAATATGTATCAAGTGCCTTAAAAATGTTCATGTAAAAAAATGCTCTTATCATTTGAACTATTTTGTTTAAAGGAACTAATTAAATTAAAAAAGAAATACATGGCAGTGGGAAAAAAATTAAAAAACTGAAAATTATAGAGAAAATAACAGTCATTTATAATCCTCTCAGTCACCTATAAGACTTTGGTGCATTTTCTTACAGTCTTCTTTCTAGCCTTATATATGGACTTTTAACATAATTGGCAACATGGTGCACATGGTGATTTGTAAGTTATTTCTTTTTTTTTTTTTTTTTTGCGGTACGTGGGCCTCTCACTGTTGTGGCCTCTCCCGTTGCGGAGGCTCAGCGGCCACGGCTCACGGGCCTAGCCACTCTGCGGCATGTGGGATCTTCCCGGACTGGGGCACGAACCCGTGTCCCCTGCATCGGCAGGCGGACTCTCAACCACTGCACCACCAGGGAAGCCCCTGGCTTGTTTTTATGGAACTATTTTGATAACTTTTTCAATTTCTTCTACAATTACTAGATTTTTAAAGTATTTTCCTCCCTCTGGAAAAGCTTAGGCAATTTATATTTTTCCACAAAGTTGTTTATTTACTATTTTCAAATTCAATAATCTAAAATTGTATTAAATATTTGCTATAAATTTTAGAATAAATTTATATCATTGGCTATATCCTCTTCATCGTTTCTAATTTTGTGGCGTTTTCCCCTAGATTTCTTAATTAGATTTGCCAAATCTTTGTCTCTATCAGGAGTCTGTAACCTGTAGCCTTGTGCCAAATCCTGCCTGGTGCCTCTTTTTGTACATATGTGGTCTAAGAATGGTTTTGACTTTTTTTTTTTGGCCACACCGTGAGGCTTGTGGAATCTCAGTTCCCCAGTCAGGGACTGAACCTGGGCCCTCGGCAGTGAGAGCGTGGAGTCCTAACCACTGGACCACCAGGGAATTCCTGTTTTTATGTGTTTTAAGTGGTTGACAAAAGGTGAAAGGAATAATTCTTGTGACGTGAAAAATTTTAGGAAATTCAACTTTCAGTGTCAATAATAAACTTTTATTGGAGTCTAGCCAGGCGCATTCATATGTATACTTTCTACAGTTGCTTTCATGCTACAAGGGCAGTTGAGTAGTTGCAAAAGAGACCATACGGCCTGCAAAGCCCCAAATTTTTACTATGTGGCGCTTTACAGAAAAAGTTGGCCAAACCCTGGTCTATAGGACACAAGCTTTGGTGGATATACCTCTGAATCCCCTATTTTATTATGTTATCTTGGTTTCCAGATCCTTATTGTTAATATATTTGATCAAAGTCAGAGTGGTATATTAAAGTTTCTTATAACTATGGAGTTTTTGCCAGTTTCTCCTTGTATACTCAGTCATTTTTGTTTTATAGACACAATCTCTATGTTCCCGAGAGCTAAGGTTGATGATACATTGCAGAAGAGTCTCCTTTACAAAAATAAAATGCCTTCGTTTTACTATATATCGTACCTTGAGCCCTACTGTTTCATATTAATATTAATACCCTGATTTACTTGTGATTCCTGACATGTCTTGCCCACTTTGTGTTAAGTGTCACTTTTGTAAACAGAATATACTTGGATTTTAATCTTTTTGACCCATTCTGAAAGATTAATTTAAGAGTTTAGTCCATTTTTATTTACTATTATAGACTCATTTTTATCATCTCCCTATCTTTTGCTCTGTGAACTATTTTTTTTAATGTTTTTTGTTTTTTCCCTAGAATGAATGGAAAGGTTTACAACCAATTTAAAATTTACTAGAATAAAGTTACCACCATGTGAATAACTGTTTTTAATTTTAAAAATATAGAACAGTTCAAAGAAAAATGTAGCAATCACCCATATTTCCACTATCAGAATTCATCACTGTTAAATAAGATTTTGGTATTTTTACTTCTAGTGTTATTTTTTTCTATGTGTATATATATATATATATATATATATATATTTAAAACATCATATAAATAAGAATAAATCATGCATAAAATATTAGAACCTCATAGATGAAGACAGAGTCTCCAATCCACTTTCCGTCACTCCAGGTCTCCAGTATTATGCTACGTATCTATTTTTCTAGTCCTTTTTAGCCACAGAAAATACACGTATTTCTGGCTATACACAGTCTTCCTACCAAACTTCACTCTTAACAACTTGTGAAAAATTTTACTCAACACCTGCTAGGCAAATAAAAAATGGACTGTAATGAAATCTCATGCACAGGGAGCAACAAATTTTAGGCTAAGATTCTCTGACTGTAAGAGGGAGGCCAATGAAGGAAGGTGGATGGAAAACACTTTCGTTTGTCCCTATCGCTCTGCCATCCTGCCTCAGGGATTCAGCCTGAGTGAGTGGTCACTGCTACTATTTACCCAGAAAATAGTTTCCATAGTTTTTAGAGCTACTGACATTTACATCTTTTTTGTATGTTCTACTAAGTACTTTAGAGGCAAGACACAACAGAATCGAGAGCTGGCAGCTTTCTGCCGTATTATCTGGAAGCTCCATATACTATCTTTTATATTCAGAGAAACAAAAAATGAAAACAGTAGTTTTTAAAATGCCAGTGAATGTACCCTAGGGGAAACGTAATTCTGGAAAAACACTCAACGGATACATATTTTAGAAGGTAGCAATGGCTCAAAGCAGCAAAAGCAGAGAAGAAAACGGAGACTAGCTTGCAGTGTGATTCTGTTGTATCACGGGATGAGGCCAGTGCTATTTCTGGATGTTCCACGCACTTCAGGACACGGAATTGAGTCCTCCCCCAAAATACCTCTAGTGAAATACTATACACTATATAACTTGGCAGCTGAATTAAAATTAAAGATAAAAATATATAAACAAAAGGTTGACAGAATTCTAGATTACCTAATATGACACGATCAGAAGAGTTAAGCATGTATATAGTTCAGTGAAGCCACATTTAATATTAATCTGCCTATAAATCCTAGGTGTAGATATGACCTAATTCCTCCCCTCCACAGGGTTAATTAGGAAATTGAGAAAAGTATAATGAGCTGATTGAATCGAAACACATTATCTGCTAAAATGGAGATCACACAATAGAAATACTGGAAACACCATTTCTTTTCTAATAATAGTACCCATTGTCAGTACAGTCGTATTAGAGATGGCACTCATGATGCTGGGCACGTGCAACCTCCCCATCTACCTTAACAGCCTCTACTATAGGGTCTGGTTCAGGAAAGCAGGGCTAGGCTGGTCCGTGTCTAGAGGTGGCCCCCAGATTTTTGGCCCCCTGACCAGAAGCCAGCCCAAACACAGGCTGGCCAACAGCTTACGGCAGCATTGTATGAACAGCTGTGATGGGCCAGATTCCTCTCTCGGAAATTTAAAACAGAAGAATGGGAGAAAACCTGGCAATTGAAAACAGAAGAGAGTAGCTGAGTCAAAGGAGTGAGTGAAGATTCTGATACCTTAACTACAGACCCTGCTCCTTCTGCAGTCTTGTTTATCCATTGTTTCAGCTTTCCTCCACAATCAGAAATTAATAGTGTACTAGGTTTCTTTTTTAAACAGTGTAGTTTTTTTTTTAAGATTTTTTTTTGATGTGGACCATTTTTTTTTTAAGTCTTTATTGAATTTGTTACAATATTGCTTCTGTTTTATGTTTTGGTTCCTTGGTCATGAAGCCCGTGGGGTCTTAGCTCCCCGACCAGGGATTGAACTTGCACCCCCTGCATTGGAAGGCGAAGTCTCAACCGCTGGACTGCCAGGGAAGTCCCTTCCCCCCCCCCCTTTTTTTTGGTAATAGGGTTTTAAAGTATTTTTACAAACAAACACATCAGCTTCACAACTCTGTAAAGTTAGGTGCGATTAAACCATCCATTTTACAAATGAGAAAGCTGAGGCAGAGTAGGATCAAAATAATTTGAGGTCACATAGCTTCGCAATGGCATAATCGTAAGACAGTTGTTTTTTCCCTTAGGCCACTGATTTGTTTGAATGCTATTGTTCTCTTTACAGTCCTTTCTCCGCAAACATTAGCTACATCAAGAAGAATATTGTAAGGCAGAAAAAAGAGTTTCCCTCTTACCTGTTTGCTGTATGGTTGTTATTGCCTGAGCATTACACTGTAGCTGTAACATGTGTCTCAGCATGGCCACTCCCCAAATATTCAACTCTGGATACAACACAGGAGCCGCTGCTGCTTTCAGCTTAGACGATCTCAGACCTGTTGTGAAGGCCTGCAACCTGGCTGCTTCGAGCTGCCTGCACAGTGCAGAAACACTCAGAGCACAGAGGAATTTGTGTACAGGGCTATGGTTTCCGGTATGGGGTAAAAGGCTGAAGACAGCATTGTAATTACTTTCATACTTCCCGTTAATATCACACCCAGGAATCGGGGTCTCAACGGTTTTGCCCTTGTTTTTACTCTCCCCTCCCAGGTCATAGCTGAGTATTTGCGCCAGATTCTTGCTTTCAGGTAAACAGGTATCCCTGTTAGTAATCTCACCACAAAGCTTATTTATGACTTTGCCAGCTTCCTCAAATCTAGCTAAAAGAGTCGACCTCAGGGCAATGTGGCAAAAAACACCCAGTGTGAGAAGCAGCCCCCCTAGAGAACACTCTATACTATGGTAGAGATCCCAGGCCTGCTGCAAACACTCTTGGCTGCAATACTTGGCATAGCTGCATCCATCACAGGGAACTGGGGCCAAAGTGTGCTTCAAACATCGGTGACAGTAGAGGTCCCCATTGGTAGCTCTGGTATCCCACTTGCTCTCGAGGCCACGATGCCATGGTGGCATTTCTCCTGGGTTAAGGACACTCACAAAAGCATCCTCTTTCACCAGAAGCTCTCCTGGGAGAATATCTTTTGTGGCAACCAGACAGCGGCCTTTTAAAGGGTCTGTACATAAGCTGACAGATGATGATGTGCTGGAAATCTGTTCATTCTCTTCCCTTAGGTCCATATCCTCAAAGGCTTTGGTTAGAGCTGCTGGGGAGGTTTCTGTGAGATTCTCCTTTTCCTGTACCTTTACCTTCAGACGACAGAGGGTTCTCTGCAGAACCTGAAATTGGGAAGCTGCTAGGGTTGGTTTGGCAGCAAAGTTACTCTCAAGATCACTGATGGTCTGGCTTGCCTCGTGTGGTCTCCCCAGGGTCACCAGACACTCCGCCTTACGCAACAGCAACTTGGGTTGCAATCTTTCTGGATATCCATGTGTCTGTGCTCTGACGATGTCTTTAAGGCATGTCTGCAAACAGAAAGAAAATCCCAAAATGACCCTTGGTCCCTACTCTTAAATGTCCACTTGAAAGTCTTAACAAAAATCTACAAGTTAAGGATTATTAAAAATGGAACAACTACAATCATGTGCTTATTTCTTTAAATCATATTCTACTGTGATCATTTTTTTTTTTTGCGGTACATGGGCCTCTCACTGTTGTGGCCTCTCCCGTTGCAGAGCACAGGCTCCGGACGCGCAGGCTCAGTGGCCATGGCTCACGGGCCCAGCCACTCCGCGGCATGTGGGATCTTCCCGGACTGGGGCATGAACCCGTGTCCCCTGCATCGGCAGGCGGACTCTCAACCACTGCGCCACCAGGGAAGCCCTACTGTGATCTTTTAATTGAATGATTAGAAACAGATGCTGAAGATATTATGTTTAACTGTCATTAAATATTTCTGATTCTAAGGAAAAAAGTCTTACAGATAGAAGAAGCATAGTATGATGATTAAGAGGGCATCCCGGTACGGACTCTGCCTCTTGCTAGCTGTATGACCTTGTGCAATTGAATTAATTTCTCAGTGTCTTAGTTTTCTCATCTGAAAAACAGGGATAATAATACCTCACAGGATAGAAATAAAAATGAAAATAAGGTAATATATCTAAAGTGTTAAAAAGATGCCTGGAACACAGTATGTGCTCAATACATGGGAATCATTATTGTAAGAAGTAACAATATAGGGAAGATATAAAGGGCTAAATGTTTCACAAGGTCTTCCCACTGCTGTCTATAGTAGCCCAGGCCTTTCTTGCTTAGGGCCTGGACTTAGATTCTTGCTCTTCTCTCTTAGTCCAAAGGGCTTAAGTGTGAACTTGCGGTGACTCAAATAGTTCTTAACTCTAGGGTATACTTTAAATTTTTGTAGAATTCCAAAATGGATGTGCCCAAGTGGCATTTTAGAGTTTGTCCTTAGACCTCAATTTGGGGATAAGGAGGAAGCCACTCATCTGAAGTCCCCCCACTCAACAGGCATTTCAGTGCAACTTTTACTTTCCCACTCAAAATTTATATTGAGGGTGAGACTTATTATTGCAGGGATATTCTTGAACATGCTCATCTACTTATTAAAAAAAAAAACCCTGAACAAGTAAATAGTTTGCGAACACTTGGAACCTGAAGTATTATTAGCAACGTATCTCATAGCTGATCTTGACACTGAGCATTGCTGACCCACTGGATAGAGTGAGTCCACGGCCCTGGGGAATGTGCATGTCTCTTTTCTACCAACCCACACTACCCCATGTAATCACCTGAGACAGGTGAAGTGAATCCGGAGAAAGAACAAGTTCGGGAAGTATCAATTGCTTCCAATTCAACCAGTTCCAATTTTAGCTTTCTAATGTAGAAGCAGGGATGAAGGTCTAATCTTCCAAGGAACCCCCCTGCAGATCCTCTCCAATCACACCAGGCATCCTGATACTCACCTCATACTGACCCAGGTGGAAGAGGGCTGCAGAGCGATTGGCGTAACACAGTGAAATGTCCTCAGAGTTGGGCCTTGAATGCGATACTCCCTGCAGAACAATGAACCGGTTAAAGGTATACATGGAAACTAGCATCTTTAGAGATGTTTTTTTTTTTCCAGATAATAGGGGCTCTGCTACTAAAGACTGTATGAAATTGGGTAAGTTACTGGATCTCTTTGTGCTTCACCTGCTTCATTTTTAACTACCTTAGAGCAGAGGTGTGAAGATCAAGTGAGGAAATAAATAGGTAAAGCACTTTGAAGACAGCAGCTTCAGACACAGCTTCAGCCACAAACAGCACTAAAGGTAACTGAAAACTGAGGAGCATAATCCGGCACATAACGAAGTGTGAGTGGAACAAACAGAAATTCACAAATGAAGAAACACGAATGATACGTGGGAAACAATTCATACACAGATAGTCAAATACATGAAAATGAAAGCAGAAAAGGGCTACTTTTTTCTACCACCAAATTGGCAAGGATTAATAATAATCATAAAGGTGGGACTTCCCTGGTGGCGCAGTGGTTAAGAATCCGCGTGCCAATGCAGGTGGCACGGGTTCGAGCCCTGGTCCGGGAAGATCCCACATGCTGCGGAGTAACTAAGCCCGTGCGCCACAACTACTGAGCCTGCACTCTAGAGCCCACGAGCCACAACTACTGAAGCCCGCGTGCCTAGAGCACGTGCTCTGGAACAAGAGAAGCCACCGCAATGAGAAGCCTGTGCACCCACAGAACAGTAGCCCCCGCTTGCTGCAGCTAGAGAAAGCCCGGGTGTAGCAACGAAGACCCAAACACAGCCAAAAAGAATTTTAAGAAGTAAAAATAAAGGTGGCATCTCCAATCACTGGAGAAAAGATAGGGATTATTCAATAAAAGTATTGGGACAAGTAGCCACTGAGGAAAAATAAAGTTGGGTCTCGATATATGATAATAAAACTTTCATTAGGATAAATAACAAATGGATCAAAATCTTAATATAAAAATTGAAACTATAAGAGCACCAGAAGAGACTATATAATCTAAAGTGATGTTGGAGTCAGAAATACCTTTCTAATTATGACACAAAACCCAGAAGTCGTAAAAGGTTAATGAATTTGACCACATAAAAATAAAAAATTTATTTGTAGCAAAAAACCAATAAAAGCAATATCAAAAGACAAATGTTGAACTGGAAAAAATATCTGCAACTCCTATTACAGGCAAAGGGCTCATTTCTTTACTTTATGAACAGTTCCTACAGATCAATACGATGGCAACCAATAATTCAGTAGGAAAATAAGCAAATGATATGAACAATTCTAATGGGAAATATAAATGGCTCTTAAACAAACGAAAAGATGCTCAGCCTCATTCATAATCAGCAAAATGCAAATTAAAACTCTACTGAGATGCCATTTTTTACTTATGAGACTCGCAAAGAAGTAAAACTGATAGCATACTGAGTTGGCATAGGAGTGGGATAATGGTCATTCTCATACACTGCTAGTGGGAGTGTAAACCGGTCTCACAATTACGGAGGCAATTGAGCAATATATATCTCTTAATACATATATCTATATCTCCATTGACCCAGCAATTCCTCTTCTAGGGATTTATCCTACAGATATAATCCTTTATCCTATAGATATATGCAAAATAACATACATGCAAAGTTTCTCATCACAGAATTGTCTGAAGTAACAAAAGACAGGAAAAAAGGTAAACAGTGATCTAAAGGACTCTAATTAAATAAATTACTATTATATCCATATAACAGAATATAAGTGGAAAAAGCACAGTGCTGAACTGTGTGTATAGAATGTTATTTATATAAAAAGAGTATGTGTGTGCAGGAGTGGGAGATTATTTGTATTTATTTATATACGCTGGAGTACCTCTGGAAAGATAGCTTTAACAGTGCTAGCTTCTGGGGATGGGAAACGAGTGGCTGGGGGACAGAGGAAGCAGACTGCACTCTATACTCTTGCATCTTAAAAATTCTAACTATGTAAACACATTTCCTATTCCAAAATAAAAAGATAAAATAATGTTAATAATACCAAATAACCAATATTGCTTAGGATATAGAGAAATGAACATTCCCATACTCTGCTAGAAGGGATGTAACTATTTTTTTCCTGGAGAATGATTCAGCAACAAGGGGCAAAGCCTTAAAAAAAAAATACATTCAGTTGACCAAGCAATTGCCCTTCTAGGAATTTATCCTTAGGAAATAGTCAGGTGTGTACAAATATTTACATAGAAAGATGCTCCTTGCAGCTTTGTGATACCAAACACTCTGCCAACACTAGGTGGTAAATCAAGTATAGTCCTCTGTAATGGAACACCAAGCCAGCTGTAAAAAATCATGTTTTAGTGGAAAATTTAATAACATGAGAAAACGGTCACAATAAATTGTTGAGGGGAAAAAAAGCAGGTTACAAAAAAAACCCAGTAAGTACAGTATTATCACCACTTTGTACAAGAAAAACATATTTTCAGAGGAAAAAGTGGCTGGCTGGATATAAGCAAAAATGTTAACAGTGCTTATCACTGGTTATGGGATTTTTTCTTACTTTTTATGCTTCTCTGTATTTTCCAAGTAAGCATATATTACATTTACAATCAGCCCAAAACAACAAATATTATTTTAAAAAAGAAAGAAAATAGCAGCTCTATGGAAAACTGCAAAGTACCACAATCAACAAAATACTAGTTTCATGAAATAGGAAGGTTCAATTTTTTTGTCTGATTTCACTTTTTAGTTTATTTTCCTTGAAGAGCTTCCCCTGTGCTCACATTTCTGACACACATGCATACAGCTGAAGAAAGATTAGCTCTGAAAAAGAACTACTATTAAGCCATTTATCAGTGATCATTACATATAATGGATTTTAGTTCTTCAGCAATCACTAATGCTTACGTTATGCAGCATTACAAAGCAGGGCTTTTATCAATTTTAGAAGATGCTGTTGTAGGTCTGATGGTTTTTGGAAAACTAATTCCAAACTTTAAGCATAGGCCTGTTAAAGATGCAGAGTAGGGGGTACACTCTTCAAATTCACACTCATTCTTTCAAGATACAGGGTTCACAGACCTGGTTTCAGAGGTTGATATATTCTTGCTTTAAACCCATATTTATCTCTAAAAAATTATGGAAGGAAATCTCTCAGGGATCTTATTCCAGTTTCTACTCTGGAAGCAGGACAAGAGCAACAGATTGTTAAAAGCCACTATTCCTCCTTGAAACCTAGTTCACTGATGGTTAGCGTAGTAATTTTAAATATTTGTTGACAGCCTTCAAAATGCAGTTCAACTGGGCTGTGGCAATTGAGCTTATTTTCCTTCCTAACTTTACCTAAGTCATACTGGCTATAAGCTAACATGGTGGCCAACCAAAAATCCAGCTGTTCTCTAAATTGGGACTATCACACCAACAGCCTCATCGGTTATTCAGACAAAAAAGGCACACAATTCAGTAAGAGCTGACAGACATGGAGGAGGGAGGCCAAGGGATCCAACAAGACTTGCTACACTGTGTCTGAAGGAATATGAGAATCGAAGTTTCTTGATGGAATTCAGGACGTATAATACAAACTATCCTTTGTTTCAGAATATGACCAAAAGCTGAGTTGTGCCAGTTTTCTTTTTCAAATCCAATCCAAAATTAATAGGCAAAGCTACTAGTGGCTACACAATTCACAATTCAGCAGTAACGGTTCTATCTTTTGAAGAAATATGCATTGGTAAATTGCTGAGACGGCCCCTCCTGCTGAGCTGTGCCGGGGGTGGGGGGGTGGCCCGGTCATCTTACCTTAGAGTACAGCACTGTGGCTCCCATATAATCCTTCTTCTGAAATTTTTTGTTTCCTTCTTCTCTGTAGAAAAGGGGAGCGTTGGGGTCCTTTCCAACAAGGTAACCTCTAGAAAGCCTTTTTAAAAACATCTCATCCTCCGGTCTTCATGAAGAAAGAACCACCACAACAACAAAAAAGCACAAATTTGTTATTTCTAGGAAAACTCCTAACCATTGCACTTGAAACAGGAGTGAATGCCTACAAAATACTGGGACAAAAGAGGTTGGATGTGTTATGTAATGTGACTGGGGGGAAAAATTTTTGGTCTCAGAGACATAGGGACTGGAATTTCTATTAGGACAGAATATAAGTTTTTTATTCAGTTACTGGCCAATAAACCATTCCTTGGATAATGCATTATATAGAAGCTTGGGTGTGGAGAAGGGCATAATACACAAGTCTTTGCACCAAGGTATACTTGCCACCTAAACTTTGTTGAAAATACCTGAGTGAATGGATGACAGAGGGGAGGGAGGGAGAGACAACGGGGGGGGGGGGCGGGGGGGGAAGGCAGGGGGAAGGAGGAGGGGGAGGGAAGGAGGAGGAGGAAGAGGAGGAGAAGGAAGAAGAGGAAGAGTCAGGATGAATCATAAAGTAAATGTAGTGAAATGTTAACATTTGGGGAATCTGAAAGAAGGGCATTGCACAACAATTCTTTATCCTATTTTTGCAAGTAAATCTGAAGTTATTTCAACCTGCAAACTTTTTAAAAACAAGTATATGAATTCTCTAATGTATAAATACACAAACATACAACTTTATTCCAATAAAAAGAAATGGTATAGAATAACCTAGACTATACTCTTTGACTATACAATGCAATGAAGCAAAATATGAATAACATGGGAACTAAAAATTCTCTTAAGCAACTCCTGGGTCAAAGGGGAAATCAAAGACAAAACTGCAGAATGTTTAGAAAAGTGTTGTTCAAATTTTTGTTTACAAAGACCCACAAGAAGAAATACCTTTCATGGGCTTCCCTCCTGGCGCAGTGGTTAAGAATCTGCCTGCCAATGCAGGGGACACAGGTTCGAGCCCTGGTCTGGGAAGATCCCACAGGCCGCAGAGCAACTAAGCCCGTGCGCCACAACTACTGAAGCCCACGCACCTAGAGCCCGTGCTCGGCAACAAGAGAAGCCACCGCGATGAGAAACCGGCGCGCCGCAAAGAAGAGTAGCCCCGGCTCGCGGCAACCAGAGAAAGCCCGCGCACAGCAACAAAGATCCAACGCAGCCAAAATTAAAAAATTAAAAACAAAAACCCCAAAAAGGCAGTAATGGAACGACAACAACGACAACAAAAAAGAAATACCTTTCACATTGTGATTCAGTAAGCTGCATCTGTGTATGTATATATGGAAATTTCACAAAACACTATTGATCCTTAAGTTAATATCAAATATTTTATTAATATTTAAACACAATACAGAAAAAAATATCAAAATAAATAACACAAAAAGAAAAATAAGGAAAGATTTTACTTAATTCAGAAGGTGTGCTTGCCTGTTCAAAATTTATTCCAGTCCAGAAAATATGAAGACAATACCCCACGAATATCTGGTACAACACAGATCCTATTCTTTGTTCTGTTTGTTTTTATGTTGTTTTAAATTAGGTTAAACCTGAAAACCCTATGCAAACAAAGAAGCTGTGGTGAACAGTAATAATAGCGAAATTCTTCTTGCCTAACAATGGATATTCTTTCATCTTAATCCAAAATGATGACAAACTCAATGTGTTTGTAATTGCTCTTCAGTGTAATTAAGAACTAAGCTGCAATAATTCATTCTTCTAGGACCAGGTTTAACTCAGTAATTAAAGTTTCGAAAAGCTTTCTTTTTTTAGTATTTCAAATTTTCTTCTGGAATGTTATGATAAAAAATTTGTGGAAGTGAGATGGAACAATTTTCTAATTAATTTTTTTATTGTGCTAAAATATTTAAAAACTTGTCATTTTAACTAAAGTATATAGTTCAGTGGCATTAAGTACATTCACCATATTGTGCGATTGTCACCGCTATCCATTTCCAGAACTTTTTCACCAGCCCAAACTAGAACTCTGCACTCATTAAATGATAACTCTCTATTCCTCCCTCTCCCCAGCCCCTGATAACCTCTGTTTCACTTTCTGTTTCTATGAGTTTGTCTACTCTAGGTACTTCATGTAAGCGGAATGGTAAAGTATTCATCCTTTTATGTCTGGCTTGTTTCACTTAACATAATGTTTCCTAGGTTCATTCCTTTTTATAGCTGAGTAATATTCCATTATATGTATATATCACAGTTTATCCATTCATCTGTTAATGGACATTTGGGCTATTTTCACTCTTGGCTATTATGAATACTGCTCTGAACATTGGTGTGCAAATAAATCTGTTCAAGTCCCGTTTTCAATTCTTTTGGGTATAAACCCAGAAGTAGGATTGCTGGATTATATAGTAATTCTTTTTTTTTTCTAAGTTGGTGCCTTACTTGTCTTTTTAAAAAAATAATTAATTAATTAATTAAATTTCTGGCAGCATTGGGTCTTCGTTGCTGCATGCGGGCTTTCTCTGGTTGCAGCGAGCAGGGGCTACTCTTCATTCTGGTGCGTGGGCTTCTCATTGCGGTGGCTTCTCTTGTTGCAGAGCATGGGCTTTAGGCTTTCAGGCTTCAGTAGTTGCTGCACGCAGGCTCAGTAGTTGTGGCTCACGGGCTCTAGAGCTCAGGCTCAGTAGTTGTGGCACACAGGCTTAGTTGCTCCGCGGCATGTGGGATCTTCCTGGACCAGGGCTCGAACCTCTGTCCCCTGCGTTGACAGACGGATTCTCAACCACTGCGCCACAGGGAAGTCCCAGTAATTCTATTTCTAATTATTTGAGGAATTGCCATACTGTTTTTCATAGTGGCTGCACCATTTTACATTCCCACCAACAATGCACAAGGGCTCCAATTTCTCCACATCCTCACCAACACTTGTTATTTTCTGTTTTATTGTTTTGGATAGTAGCCATCTAATGAGTATGAGGATAATAAGGTATCTTGTTGTAGTCTGATTTGCATCTCCCTAATGATTAGTGATGTTAAGAGCATCTTTTCATATACTTATTTCACGTGCTTATCTTCTTTGAAGAAATATCTATGCAAGTCCTTTGCCCATTTTTAAAAAAAATTTACTTATTTAGTTTGGGCTGTGTTGGGTCTTTGCTGCTGCCCACAGGCTTTCTCTAGTTGCGGTGAGTGGGGGCTCTTTGCCCATTTTTAAACTGGGTTTTTTGTTGTCGTTGAATCTTAGGAGTTCTTTATATGGTCTGGATATTAATCCCTTAGCAGATGTATGATTTGCAATATTTTCTCCCATTCTGTATGTTGCCTATTTAACTCTGTTGATATTGTCACTTGATGCTCTAAATATTTTACTTCTCATGAAGTCTGATTTGCCTATTTTTTTCTTTTGTTGCCTGTGCCTTTGGTGTCATAGCCAAGAAAAAGATGCCAAATCCAGTGTCACAAGCCTTTGGCTTATGTTTTCTTCTAAGAGTTTTATGGTTTTAGCTCTTAAGTTTAGGTCTTTGAGTTATTTTGAGTTAGCTTTTGCATATGGTGTAAGGTAAAGGTCCAACTTCATTCTTTGGCATGTAGAGTCTAACTAGGAAGCAGATAGAAAGAACCAAGTTCCTTCTTCTAGACGTGCCTTCTCTTTCTAGAGCCCTAGAGAGGTAAAGCCTCTTATAAGGTCAATTGGCAAAGCAGAAAGTCCCAGCCCCAGCAGAGAGTACAGAAGATCAGAGCTGAGAAACTGTAGCTTAATAACTCGCACACATTCACACATACACATTTTTTTTTCCTGAAAGTAAGTGCACTCATCATGGAAGTTCACCTCTAAATATTTCAGCATGCCTCTGCTAAGAATAAGGACATTCTCCTATATCTTGATATCACAATATCATTATCATGCCTAAAAAATTAACACTAGGGACTTCCCTGGTGGCACAGTGGTTGAGAATCCATCTGCCAAGGCAGGGGACACAGGTTCGATCCCTGGTCCAGGAAGATCCCACATGCAGTGGAGCAACTAAGCCTGTGCACCACAACTACTGAGCCTGAGCTCTAGAGCCTGCGAGCCACAACTACTGAGCCCACGTGCCAAAACTACTGGAGCCCACGCGCCTAAAGCCCGAGCTCCGTAACAAGAGAAACCAATGCAGTGAGAAGCCCGAGCACTGCAACAAAGAGTAGCCCCTGCTTGATGCAACTAGAGAAAGTCCACGTGCAGCAACGAAGACCCGATGCAACCAAATAAATAAATTACATTAAATTAAAAAAAAACACTAATTCAAATATCATTTAAAATTTCTCCATTATTTCTAAAATGTCTTTTCTTTCTTTTTCTTACCCCAACCTGATGTCAGATCAAGGTTCTAATGTACTGCATTTAGTTATTTCTCATTAGTTTCTTTTGAGACAGTCCCATAATTTTTTTGTTTTTCATGATTAAGTTTTTTTGAAGACTCAAGTCCAGGAAAATGTTACACATTCTGGTTTTGTCTCATTGTTTCCTCATGATTAGATTCAGGTCAAACAATTTTTGTCAAGAATATTAGTCCATCGTTAAATCTGTATACTTCTTGTTGTTTCAAACCAGGAGACACATGTCAGGCAGTCCCATCACTACTGGTGATGTTGGTTGGTCACCTGGTTAAAGTGGTGACTGCTGGATTTCTCTAATATAAAGATAACTTTCCCCTTGTAATAAGTAACGTTAATAAGTAATCTATGGGGCCATACTTTGAGACCATGTGAATAACCTGTTTCCCAGTGATCTTTCTTCTAATGTTTGGAGCATCCATTGACGATTATTGCCAGAATCCCTTATTACACTGGGAGTTACAAAATGGTGATTTTCTAATTCTATCATTATTTCTAAACTTATTAATTAGCACTCTTCTGTAAAGACAAATGTTTCCCCCTTTTCTTCTTTTACTTATTTATGTATTTTTTGAGTATCACCATGGACTTAAAAAAATTCATTCTTATAAACCATTATCATCATTATACTTTTTGATGCTCAGATTGTCCTAAATTTGGCCAATGGAGACCTCTTCAGACTGGCTCCTATGTTCT